TCACAACAATTTCCAACTTCGACAGCAACTTCGAATATATGTTCTCTTTCTTCAGCTGAGCTCATGAGTTTACACAAGAATTCGCGTGAAAGTGTACAGAAACCAATCAAAACCTCCCAAAATTTCCTCAGAATTTTCATGTAGGTCCAACACATAAGGAGTCATTCAACAGCAGGTAAGGGGGATCTCTTCGAGCGGCTCGAGCCTCGACCAAGACGCTCAACTGTAGGGTCGGGTTTTCAATAATTATTTTCGAATTGAATAGCCGATAGTCATAATGATGTGAAGTTGAAGTAATGATCTGTAGGACACTTAAGAGAATCGAAGGCTATCGAGGAGGCTCATAGGTTACCAAAGGAATGTCTGTAAGGGTGAACGCAAATACAGATTGATGCGCAAAATAATGACCCCGGCCCGATTCGAACGGACAACCTTCTGATCTGGAGTCAGATGCGCTACCGTTGCGCCACAGGGCCAAGTGATAAACGACTCCTGCAGTGCAACATCACCCGAGGAGCCACTCGCAGATCCCACTTAATCCGCTAGGTTAACAACCCCGTCTCCCACGGATCAATAAGCCCATACTCATCCTGAGACGGTGAAACAATGATCGAATCACTCCCAAGATTATTGTAACCTCCTCCTGATACGTAACCCAACGCAGACTGTACCAACGAGGAATACGGTGTAATCAGTAATCGAAAGTAATCGCAACACCAACGATCATTCACATTGCCCTATGAGACCTATCACGCAACCATGGACAGGCTTCTGTACCACTCGTCACTTCGTGGCCACCTGCTGTGCTAGAGCAGTGAACTTCACAGTGATGTACGGGGCCGGTCCGGGAGACAGAGAACCCATGCTAAGAAAATGATGGGGGAAAAGTCAGTATATCTTTTACGTCGAGCGAGCGATCGTCTTTCACGATTACTTCGAATTTCGATCTGAGCGCCAAAGACGTTGATAAATGGCTTGCCTAGCAAGCCAGTTATCAACGTTCTCGGGTTCCTGGCTAATTCCTGGTTCCTGGCTGGTGTTCATGGCAAGCCTTGCCACTACAACGCACTTCTGCTAACATGCAATCGATAGTATCAACTTGATACCATACTGTCTGACGCAGCCGAAAAGTCAATGTAATGGGTTCATCTCCAACAACAAATTCATTCAACAAAAAGAGACCTACAATATTCCTGAGAATATCCGAAATAGAAACAAGTTGCGCGAGAAGAGGTATTTCGCACAATCCCTCTACTGACCGAATATGGCTCGCCATCCAGACTTTAGACTCCACAATACGAAGATTGCCAACATCTCAATGCAGCGCTGCAATAAAATGTTCGCTTTCCTCAGCTGCGCTCAAAACTTTCCTCACTTATCATAAGAGTCTATATAAGAACTAGGAGAATATACGAGGTGTACAGAAACTAAGAAGAATTTTCCAAAATTTCCTCAGAGTTTTCATATTGTTACCAACACATGTGGTTGACATTGTGGACAATTTACTACACTGCCTCAATGAGCATCCGAAGTTCGTCAAGTCCCAGTCGTGTGTTCAACTTGAGATGAACCGTCACCAATGGTGACGGTGACGGTGACGGAAATCTCTATGGTGACTCACCATAGAGATTTCCTAAACTACAAAGTAAATATATGAACTCGAGTGTCATGTCAATGTGGCCGCCACTTTCCCATGCTTTGAGAGACAGCCAGGATTCGAACCCGAGTCCTGCGCGAGCAAGTACTTGACAATCAGCAACTCATAGCTATGAATCATAGCTCTCAGATCTTCCACCGCTTGCAACTCTCTGATTAGATATGAGGTCTGTCCCTAGCGATCAACTAGTGCCTCGAACGAGATGGCCTCCGCATCCTGAATCGAGCTGCAGAACAGCCCTTCGCATACTCTAACACTGCACCATCAGTGATGTTACATTTCAGCGTATAGGAAATACCTCCGGATAGATACTCAACAGCCCTTTGCGCTCCGTATACATACACAATCGGACGCTACTCCATCCGAATGCAACCACTTGGAAACGTACACGAGCCGTGCCTACGGACATACTTGATGATGAGCCTCTCGAGAAACCAACAAGACGAAGCAAATAATCTATTGAGATGAAGACTGATATTTGCATTCATCGTGCATCAACCTCGAAATCATCACTTCTATGTACTACTTCTACACAGTTCACATCCGAGTAATTATCCTCGCCCGATACAAGGCGATGCTATAGGTCAATCAGAATTCGACTGTCCCA